AAAAAATGAAGTAAAGGGAGTCTGTGCAAGTCTAGAGAGGGAGGAAGACTATGCCTGTACTGAATTTATTGACTACCTGAAGGGAAGATACAATAATATATATTCAGATTATTTGTGGTAGGGAAGTAAAAACTGTTAGAGCCATCTGTAATAGTGGGAGTAGTAAATATCTGTACTATGGTAGTGCGGAAAGACCCCAAACACTATTGTATAAACAGAAAAAATATAACCCTTGCCCTGACATTATTTAAAGAGACAAACACATGAAGAACAGGGGATGGAGATGCATAAAGCCAAATGAGTAACATGAAGAATTTGCTCATCTTTGCTCACAGTTACATGCACTGTTAGAGATGATAGCATGTATTAAATTATCATGATTAACTGATAAGCCTGGTCTTCTTGGTTAATTCTAACAACTATATTCACCCCCCTTGCTGCTTCTATATCAGAGGCAGCATCACTGGATGGGGGAAGGCAGGTAGAAGCCAGTGCTTGGGGAAAGCCAGCTTAAAAACCAGCTCCCCCAAGAGCACTAGCTCCCATGGAGGCACCTGACCTCTCACCTCCCGTGCTTCTGCCTCTGATAGAGAGGCAGCAGCATTGGGGTAGGGGAGGGCAGGCAGGAAGCAGCTTTCAAGCTGTCTCTCCGTGAGCACCAGCTCCCGCCTACCCCCATGTGTAAACATGTAACCGCTAACATTTCTAGCAGTTAAACATTTATACAAATGCATGATAGTTAACATCCCTATGCACCATAGGCTTTTTTTTTTTTAAATCTGGCTTTTTAGGAAGGGTGTGGGAAAAGGATAGGAGAGGAGTAATAATCTCAGTTTATTCTCTAACTAGCTATGATTAGCAAACTGGCTTTTGTAAGCATTATGGCAATGATGAGATTTAAGGTGAGATTAGAAGATGGATGAAGTAGTGAGTAATAAGATTTTATCAGGGAGTTTTTCTCCATGCAGAAGAGGTAGCTTGGGAGGAAAAACAGATATTTAAGGGAGAAACTAAAGAGTAGACGGCAAAGGTTGGAAATGCTGGGATTCAGTAAGTCCATAAATTAATGATTGAAAATGTTTATTGTTCTCAGAGATGCAACTGTATATTTTTGAAGGCAAAAAGAAACTATGGGTTGTGGTTCATAGCTACACATTTTGAAGATCTCTGTTGTGTATTCATGAAGTTTAGACAAAAGAGATAAATAGCAGATGTGCCATATAGGCTGAGTTATGAAACTCGTTCCTATTTCTTCCCTCTGTAGTTCTACTCCCAGACTGATGCTTCTATCCTTTTATAAAGCTCAGGGGATTAGCAGAACATCAACTGGCATCAGGGCCATCTTTAGAATTTATGGGGTCCTACGCAACCCCCTCTTCCACGTGTCCCCCCATATAACTTGTTCCCACACCAGTGCAGGGCTTCTGCGCTCTTCCCATACCCTCTCCAGGGCACATTACCTGGAAGAGTCTAGCAGGGAGGGGGTTAAACGCCTGGCTGCTGCAGAGGCTGCCACCCCACTCTGCAGCTCACTGGGAGTCAGAGCCACTCCAAACTCCAGAGAGCCCAGCTCAGGCGACGTGCAGCAGGAGGAACCGACAGTGGTGGCATCAAGGTAACTGCTCCAGCCCCAATGTTTGCATGTCACATCGCCATAATTTGGGGTACTACTGGAACACCAGGTAGGAGCAGGTTGGCCGCTCTTACTTGCTATCTGGGGAGAGCCCCAAATTTTTGGGTGCATTAGGCAGATTCATATTCTGTTATGCATAGGGATGGCCTTGGGTGGTATCCCAATCTCTACCCTTTATTATTTATTATTTCACAGATGGGGATTACTCTATCTCCTCTTACAGAAGCCTGTTACCAGTTGACAGTATTCAAGTTGCCTGAAACTGACTGTCTTTGCATTACAGTTCTCACTCCAGTGTATGATATAAAATAGATTTTCTAAGCCCTTTAACTCTGAGCATGGGCAGTCAGTGACAGCAGGGCCCCACCCCCACCTGACCCTTCTACTGAGGCCCTGCCCTCCATGGGAGCCAAGCTGCCTCCTCGCCCCCTCCACCAAGGGAAGGTGGGTTAGTGCACCACCGCCAGATCCCCCCAGCATGGAGAGGGCGGGTGTGCAGCCCCAGGCTCCCTGGCTCCGGAGCATGGGGAGGGAGGAGGGCATGTGTGTCCCTAGCCTTTCCGGCCCTGGAGCACGAGGAGGGCAGGTACTGGGGGGCATAAACACTCCGCTCCCAGAACACCTACAGTAGGTGTTCTGGGGGCAGAGTGTGGGCGGGGCCAAACTGGTGGTTTAGGAAGGCAGTGCCTTTCCCTGCCTACCATACCAGTTGCCCATGACTCTTAAATCACAATTATGTGAATCACCTCCCTTCTCTTTTGCAACCAGATAACATTCCTGTGACAAGCTATTTGCTTCCATGGAAAAGAAATTGGGAAAGCTTTTAATGAAATCTTTAATTCTTTCAATATAATTTAGCAGGTAACAAGTCCAACCAGTACCTGTGACTAGCAAGCTCTCTATAAATATCTAGCAAGTACTCCATGTATCCTTGGTTGGAAACAGCTGGTGTAAATTACTAAGGGAGTGTGGAAGGGTGGAGGGTTATGAGATTAAAAGCAGATCTTATTGAAACTCAGAATTTCTACAGGAAATTGTGACATTTAAAAATTGACTTTTGTCCCAATTGAAAAGAAGAAAATAGATGTTTCAAAATTTCCTGCAAAACAAAAATTTCCAGATTTTTTTCAGAAATATCAGTACAACTATTGGCATATAAAAATGTTTTATACATACCAAAACATATAGAAATGAATTGATTTGATAATTTTGTGTGTTTTTTTTAATGAAATCAATATATTCCTGCAAAAGTTTTTGACTTAAGTGAATCAGCAGCTCCTATCACAAAACTGTTCCATCATTTGTTTTTGCCATCTCTAATTAAAACAATGTACACATCTATGAAGAATTAAGATAATTTAAAATAATGAGGTCAGGAGCCAATGGCAACCATAGATTATCAATTACAGCCACTGATGTCTGTTAGCGGGCAACAGTTCATTGTGTGACAGAGAATGATGGATGTCTATAGAGCAGATTATGGGATGGACAATTATAAAACATTATACAAAAATATAAAAAACCCTGACATTTTATTTTTGCCTTTTATTCTTGAAAAGCAACAATTTTTAGAATACTGGAGAGATTTGATTATTGAGAAAATCAAATTACCTTTTCAGCTAGTTCTGCAGCAGTTATATTTGGATCATATGGTATGGGATCTCCAATATATGTGCGAAATTTGACTGGGAACCCTCCATATAGAGGAACTACTGGCAATCGAGAATATTCATAAAGCCATCTAAATGACCCTGTGAGTTTTAAAAAAATTGTTAATAGTGAGCAAAAGTTTGGAAGCTAACTGAGACCCTGAATCCAAAATGGTGCTTGGATTGCTTGTTTTGCAAAGCGTCAAGAACATTTTACCAAGGCCATGACAAAATAGGCAAGATAGTTTACAGGGCATACATAGAATCTTGGGTGGTGGTGAGGAAACAAATCCTCTACTTATCCTTGCTTTTCCTCATGCATATTTGGTATGCACCCTAATTAATAAAATAAAAACACAATTATCAGAGTTAAAACAGAAGTCTGACAAATATATTTACAAGTATATGTCTGACATAAAGTAAATACTGCACATATTTAAAAAATTCTAAACTTGAGGGGATATATATGGATTATATCTTACATATTTTTCCGAGTGTCCTATATCCTTCCCGAAGATTCTGTGTGAACATAGGGATGATGGGCTAAGAAAAGAAAAAAAAGAGGGGGTGAAGATTTGGACAACATTTCTGTCTAATATTTTTTAAACCCTTAATCATCTCTGAACTAGAGAGGCTTTCCATTTATGTCACATGATGATCATAGTAAATGTTACCATCTCACTAAATTGAAATTAAACTGGTATTTTTTATTAGTAAATGAAAGAAGTTGTGTGTTTGCTTAGAAAAACTACAGCTAGTTATTTCCCATGGGTCTGATCTTAACTTAAGTGGGGAAGATTCTCAATAGGAATCTTTCCATTGATTTCAAGGGTGTTGATTGGGATCCCAAAGTACACAAACACTAAAACAGCATTGGTTATTAGCATAACATTCCATAGCAGAAAAAACAGATTCCATAAGTAGTGTGAAACCATTCCAAAGAGATGGCTTTAGAGACATACTCCTGGTGGGTTTTGGTTTTTGAGACTTTGCCTAAAATGCCAAAACTAGCGAATTAAAAAAAATATCCAGATATGTTACTGGCTGCAAAATCTTGCACGTAGGCAAACCGAATGAAGCAAAAGTCCTAACAAAAACCTGCTCAAACTGCAATTTTAGAGAGCTGATACATGTGTCATGCTATGGGGAGAAAAAAAAAGAGCTTTCCATCATATCCACTACTGCATTCACTCATAGTGCATACTTTGTACGCAAATTATCATTCTTTTAAAAGAATTGAACTTATGGATATAGACTATATGACTGAAGGCTTGTCTTCATTTACCCCAAGATCAACACTCCAGAGATCGATCTCCTGACCCTTGATTTTGTGGGTTTAGTAAAGACCATCCATGAAGCTGACCATTCCTAGCACCCCTGTTAACCCTGACACTCCATGGGGTTGTGAAGAGTAAGGGAAGTTGATGAGAGAGTTCCTCCTATCGACCTCCCACAGTGGTGATGCCACAGAGATTTGAGTTAAGGTATGTCGACTCCAGTTATGCTATTCTCATAGCTGGCATTGCATATCTTAGATCACTTTCTCTAGTAGAGTAGACCAGGTGTGAGTGCTGGCTGTAGTTTCCTGGTCGCTGAAGTTGCTTCAGCACAGAGAAGGCTGCAGGTTTGACTATGCCAATCAACATGTTCCTAGTATAGATTAATGACCCTTGGGGGTAACTGCTGGGCTAATGAGACATTTGACTTAGTATCTTGGTGGATATATATTTGAAAGGAACAGGCAATCATGAAAAACACAGAGGATAAATGAGGTTTTATGACATGCTTCTCCTGCTGACTACCTGTCTTATGTCCAATAGTGTTTAGAAAGCAAGATTAAAGACTCATGTGGTGGAAAAGAAACATTCTCTGTGTTTTTGAGTGAGACCACAAAAACAGACTAGTCAGCACTGATCACAATAGCTGAACAAGCACTCTCTGACAATGATGGCATTCTTATAAATAAGTATTTTATTAGTCTTTGGATCCCCTGTTCAAGATAGAAAATATATCTATATATACAAGCAGGAGGTGGTACTTACTACTTTTGCATCTATAGCCACCTGAGCAAAGCCTTTGCGATTACCCCACAAGAGGTTGTAGTTTTCATCACTAAAGAATGCTTCTCGAACACCACCGGGTGAGACACCTAGTAAGTGGCCATTTTTCAGAATTTGAACACATTCTTCTCTTCCACCATGCATCACGCCAAAAAGATCTAAAAGCAGCTTAATGCCTGTAAAAAATGTGTTGTGTTTACATTATGCTGGAACACTAGATCACCTTACATTAAGAGTTGCTTACCTAAAAAAAAAAAAAAAAAGAAACAGTGGCCAAACATCATGTGAAGCAGATAGGCCTGCAGGTGAAAACTGAACACCAAGTCATGATTTGTAAGAGTAACAGACATATTTTTCTAATTGTCTAACCTTTCATCCAGATTTGTGTGTTAGAGAATTGTGTTATCGCTGAATAGCTGATAGTCACTGAGATCCAAAAAGTAAAGAGAGAAATTAAATACTTGTATGTATTTCCTAACTTTTGACTGCTGATTTTGCAAGCTTAATATTCTTTTAACATAGCTTTTTAATTATATCAATAGTCCTTGAGATTGACAGTACCCTGTTACTTTGGAGCTGATAGCTAAAAAAGGTCTGCCACCTTCCCAAATTACTCACTAAAGCAAATAAGGAATTATTGTATTTGGAAGTAATTAATCTGATCATTATATGAATCATGTTAGTATCAACTGATCAATTTTTATGTGATTTGTTTATATTTTATTTTATGATTAGTTACTTAGTTAATAAAATATATACAATTAGAAAGTAGAGTAAACTGGATGTTTCTTATCCAGTCCAGACATCAGTGCCTGAGATGACCAGAAATGCAGGGTAGTAACAGAGGCAAATCAAATAAACTACCTATTGGTAATCCATATAATCTGTCCCATTAATCCTCATATTCAACAAATTTTGTTTAATTGGCCACACTTTAAATATTGATCAAACAAGTCACTTTGTTGTAGTCAAAAGCAACAAGTCTAGTATAATAAAATCCTACAATAGTGTTGGCACTGACACGTTCAGCCACCATTGTATGGAAAGGTATTTGCACTTTCAAACTACAGCAAATTCTGCCTGCAACCTGGGAACAAAGCCATTAGTTCTTATGGAAATTCAACTACAGGTTGGATTTCCCTAATCTGGCACCCTCAGGAGTCAGGACCTGAGCGGTCCTGAACAAGGGAGTTTGCCGGACCAAAGGAGGTCAGGCCTTGGGCTGGCCTCAGGCTCCCCTCTTGGCCACCAGGCTGGCCAGTTGGCCTGGCCTTCTGGTAGGGCTCCAATCTGGGTCACCTGCCCTGTTCTGGCCAGTGGGGTTCCCTACCCCCAGTTGCTGACCCCACACCTGCTGCTGGCCCACTGGCTAGGCTCTCTGTCCCCAGGCCACTTGCTTTGAGGGCTGCCTGCTGCCAGACTCGCTGAGCTCTCAGCCACTGGCAATCCAGGTGGGGCTCTTTGGTACAGCAACATCCAGACCAGAGAGACCCGGACCAGAGAGGTTCAACTGGTAGTTCAACGGAATGTTGCAGAACATCTCAACATGTGCTACAGTGATCACATCAAACCTATCTATGCTGGCTTCCCACAGAATATCAAGTCCTGATGAAGGTCTCAGTTCTTATCTTCAGGGTTCTCAATGCTCTTAAGACTGTGGTCAACAATGTCACTCCTCAGCACAATGAAATGTTCTACTTCAAAGGCAAAGCTCGTCTATGCAAACCAGGTTTTCTTGAGGGCTAGTCTGAGATCTTCTACCTTGTTTTCTCTAGTATAAACAACAATAGCAATGTGTACATTTAAAAAAAAAGAAACAACAAAAACTCTTACTGCAAAAGAATACTACATTGTACCCAAAATTCTCCCTGAGAAGAGCATTAGAGAATAAACACGTGACAAACTACAAGAGATGTTAATCACATCACTTAATGCACTACTAGAAGGCACACGGTGAGATCAGTATAAGAACCTATGTGGTATAGAACAGCAGAAATGACCCATGCCTCCTGATAGTGTGTGGGGGGCACAACCCCAAACAGTCACACCCTCTGAGGCTGCGCACCAAACTAGAAAGCAGCCCTCCCTAGGAAAATCAGCAGTCCCTCCCAGCAATATCCATATGTTCCTCCATCTCTGCTTCTCCCTGCCTGGAGCAACTCTCAGTTCACTGATTCAGCTGTCTCCAGCTGACATATGACTGCCCATACACTCCCAGATGCTTCACTTCTGTAGCACAATATACTATGGTATGATGAGCAAGGTTACTGCCAAGACAGGTCTTTGTCCTACAATGAATAAAACAGTGAAGATGGATGGAATACTACCAGAGGAATTTGGTGGTGAGCAGCCCTGACCAGTGCAAGTTGACTCTTTTAGAACATCAGTTGAAAGATACAGTAAAAAAAACTTGAACTATACCTATTCCAGAAAAAGTGCTGACGTACATAAAAATTGCCAGGTAAATCCATATGTGCTGTATTATTGGTGGTTTCCAAAAATGTAGATGAGGGGTGAATTAATGCACAGCGACAAAATGGGGAATAACTGGCTAGATGGTGAACTCCTGAATAGAATCTGGGGTTTATAGTGAATCACAAATTGAATATAAGTCAATAATATGATGCAGTTTCAAAAAAGGTTAATATTCTATATTAACAGTAGTTTCATATGTAAGACACAGGAGGTAAATGGCCCACACCTCCTGGAACTGGTGAGCCCTCAGCTGGATAAATGGCTTCAATTTTGGATGCAATATTTTAGGAAATATATGGTTACATTAGAATGAGTTCAGAGAGCAACAAAAAGGATAAAGGGCTTAGAAAATCTGACCTAATAGGAAAGGTTAAAAAGACTGGGCATACTTAGTCTTGAGAAAAGAATACTGAAAGGGGACCTGACAATAGTCTTCAAATATGTTAATGACTGTTATAAATAGGACAATAATCAACAGTTCTGTATGGGTACGTCTACACTACAGCGCTAGTTCGAACTAACTTAGTTCGAATTAGTTAATTCGAACTAAGCTAGTTCGAACTAGCGCATCTAGAACTAAAAACTAGTTCGAACTAGCGTTTTGCTAGTTCGAACTAGCGCGTCCACACTGATTGGACGCAGGGGGGCATTTAAGGGCAGCTGAAACCGGTTCTGGCAGGGCATCAGGTCAGCAGTTGCTTTGTGTGGCTGCTGTCTGAGGCTATCTGAGGCTCGTGCTTAAAGGGACCCCCCCTGGACAGCCGGTTCTCAGCTTTTCCTGCTTGCTTGCCAACCTCGCCGAGGGACAGCAAAGCGTCGGTCTCTGTGCCCGTCTGTGTCGGTGCTTCCCTTCGGGGGGGACTGCCGCAGGTGGCAACATGGAGCCACGGCTCGCCCTGCACCTTCTGGTGCACTTTCTGGGGGGGCCCCGCCGCGGGGGGCAACAGGGAGCCACGGCTCGCCCTGCACCTTCTGGTGCACGTTCTGGACTTGCTGCTGCAAGCCTGCCAGCAATGGCTCGAGGCTGCCTGGCACCACCTGGGGAACGTCAGCCCCCTGCCTCTCCGCCTGGCCGCCCTGGGGGCCGTGGAGGAGCCGCGGCGGCGCCCCGGCACCGGCGTGCCC